GGGGGTTGACTCCCACCCCTAGAGATAGAGGCGGAGGAGGAAAAGGGGAACTACCCCCGGAAATCCTCTACCTGCGGAGAATGAGGTGAGGGCAAAGTCCCCACCTCCAAAGAAGAGGAAGGAGGAGGAAGCTAGACCCACGTTGCCGAATAACGACTTGTGGGATCCCCGGCAGGCCGAATCCTTCAGGGAGTTCGAAGTGGAGGTGGTCTGCCTCTATGGAGACTTCCTATGGATGGTGGATGCCTGCGAAGGCATTCTAAAGGCGATGAGCCTTTTCAAGGCTCATAGGCCGGACCTATGGGGCGCCAGTGCGGACGGAAGGGTGAACTTCCAGTTCCTCTTCCGAGGTCCGTTAGCTGGCGCCACTAAACTCCGTAAAAGGGCGGTGGGCTTCATGAGGAAACTTAGGGAACTCATCGCCCTGAAGATGGAAAGCACCGAGGTTGTTCCCCAAGGTACAAATTGGGGGCAAGTTGACCTGCAGACCTCGGTGCAAAATAGGGCGGAAGGGAGTCGGATGCTCTGCACCCGATTCCCCCGCCCAGAATGGCCCCCACCCGACTGGGAAAGGGACCTAAAGGCCTTGATGGCCACGGTATACAACCCCCCCTCCCGTGGGTGGTTGTGCCCCCTGACCGGAGTCGGGGACGCAACGGTTGCCGGGAGGAGGGGGATTGGCAGCAGACTGCTGCGCAGAAGAAGGTTTCCGAAGGCCTGACCCCGTTAGGGCCAGGTCGGGTGGACCCTTGGGAGGAGAGGGATTATATCCCTCTTCTACCCAAAGAAGTTAGGCCCCCCGCGGGGCGGCGGCTTATACAGACTGTTGTCCCGTGGTGAGAGTCAGGGGGAGAGAAAGATGGAAAGATTGGGCCCTCGGGTACCTGTCCCTCTTCCTCAGCCCCCAGATTGAGGGACATTTTGGAAGGAGGAGGTGGAAACCTCCCACTCTTTCACAAGGGGGAGATGACGTACCCCTAAAACAGGGTTGGTCAGGGAGAGGTCTGGATGACATGCCGCTGGCAATTCCCAGGCCCTCTCCCACTAATGACCAGGCGACGACTAGTCAAATGGGGTGGGGTTTTTAGTGGGTAGGCGCCACTCCAGCAAAGTTCCGCTGGGGTGGTGAATCGCACACTCTCCTTTCGCAGTGCGGTCATTAGGACTGCACATTGCACGCGGAAGGGGGTCTTTTTGAAGATTTCCCCATCCTTGGGGTCACCCGCGGGTGGCCCCTGCACCAAAAAAAAAAAAGGTTAGAGTTCTCTTCCTCTCGTTGTGCGCCACCTTGTCGTGGTGAGAGGGCTCACCGGGGGATGGCCCGCTGGGGTCGTCTCACGGTGCTAAGAGCGCACAGTTCCTCCTTAGGGGGGAACGGGGGTCCGGCTACCCCTCAAGGGACTTGTCCCGATTAGCCGGTAGGGGTTGGCGGCCCTGACTTCAATCGCCCGGATGCCTGGATCCGTTAGGAGTGGTATTCACTCCACCGGGATAGAGGAGCAAACCTCGAGAAAAAACCCGGGGCCTGACCAGCCTCGTTAGCACGCCGATGTTTCGGCATAACGGTCGAGCCCCCCATGGCACGTGGGGGGGCGTGGCGACTCACACCGTAACCCCAGTTAATGGGGCTGGGGG